TAGATAAAATATCTGATTTATACAAACTTCTTGTACTTTATTGATTCTATCAATACTAGCCTTTGCAAAATAAATTAAACTGTCACCAATTCAAGTAGCATATTTTACTGGTATTGCTTAACTATTCAAAGATGTCAAATATAAAGTACCTGAAGACCTGTCACTAATTTAAATACTATCACTGCCAACTACCATTCTTTGAGATATCACCAATTCGAGTAATTATACTTAACTTTTCTTTATTAATTGAACTTTTACTAAACATAAAGTATCTGATTTATACCAACTTCTTATGATAGAATCAATACTAAATTAAACTGTCACCAATTCAAGTAGCATCTTACACAAATATTGCTTAACTTTTCTAAGATGTTAAACCTAACGTACCTGAAGTACTGTCACCAATTCAAGTTCTATCCACTACAAATACTGCTGTACTTTCAACAATTATATACTGGCTATTCTTTGAGATATCACCAATTCAAGTAACTGCTTAACTTTTCTATATTAATTGAACTTTTACTTAATTAAGATTATATTATAAATATAAATGTGTTAAAGAATATTCCATAATAAATTAATTAACATTTGTTAATTGATTATTGTGAATATTCATTGTGAAGTAATAATTTATGAATGAAATTTCGTAGACTTTCATATCTTTTTTTATACATTTACATACTTTTTCGTACAAATCATTCTTTTTTTTTTCTATATAGTAAAAACGTATTAACAAATTAAGTTTTCATAAATCTCTCGAATATGAATGCTTAAGTAGTAATTTATGAATGTAGGTTTGGAATGTTCAGTATTTCTAACTGTGAATTGGGTTTCATACACATCATACAATTTACATCCTTATTTATGGATTGAAACGTATTTACGTTTATATATACTTTTGCATATTCAATTTTCTAATTAACATCGAGTAATTAACAAAAACATTGTTTGAAAAAAAGAAATAGAAAATGTTCAATATCTCAGTTATTTATTAACTCTAAGTAACAGTTATTATATAAAAAGATGCGCAATTAAAGTCTGTTTGTTATTTAATCAAGATATGTATTAGCAGTTTTATCATTAATCTGTAAAATAAAAAATAATAAAATTGAAAAATCGTTATATCTTTGTTATTAATTTACGTTACTTAATAATAATTGTATCACAAGATGCACAATTGATGATACTTTCTTATATAATCATCATTTATTTAAAAAACTTATATTAATAATCCGTAAAATAATAATGAAAAAGACATTAATGAAAATTTTATGAAAGTCGAAAAATCTTCTTATCTAAGTTAAAAATTTACATTACTTAACAGTAATTTTATCAAAAGATGCGCAATTTATGTTATTTTCTTATATAATCATCAATTATTTAAAAACTTTTATAATTTTCAAAATAATTTAAAAAAATTGAAAGAAAAACTAAAATATTTGAAAATTTTATGAATGTCGAAAATAATTTACATTACTTAACAGTAATTGTATCAAAAGAAGCGCAATTTTTGACTCTTTCTTAAGTAATCATCAATTATTTTAAAACATTCTTTATTAATCTGTAATATAAAAATATATAAGATTAGTGAAATTTTTTTGAAAAACGAAAAATCGTCATATCTTTGTTATTAATTTATATTACTTAACAGTAATTATATCAAAATATGCGCAATTGATGTTATTTTCTTATGTAATCATCAATTATTTAAAAACTTTTATAATTTTCAAAGAAATTTAAAAAATTTAAAAATATTTTTTTTTTAATTTTTTATG